ATAATAATTGGCCTGTAAGCAGCTGATCTGACGGGAAGGGAACGACATGAGCGATGATGGTACCAGTCACTTTATTCTGCAAAAACCACTGTAGTTCTTGCTTTGTTCACTTTCAGGATAGTTAGTTTATTTCCAGATTTCGTGAAGACCACTTATCATTTAACATATTCAGATTTTCGCCTCATCTCTTCATCTTTGCTCACCACTATTTAAAATACACACAGATGTGAGGCTTTTCGTGAATGAGAAAATAAGACTTGAGAAGTGAGTACTTGCCACATCACGCAAATCTGTCTGGTATTATTATTTTATTGAGAGAAATTTATGGCTCAACAAAATCTAATCTGTTCATATACTCTCTATAAGGTTAAATATAGACATATATATGTATATATTTTAGTGATATGGGAAATAAAAGTTTTAGCAAGTCGACACCCACTTCACTTAACAGCAGCAGCTCCAACCTTGTGTCTCCTCCTCAGGTAAAACAAGAAGTCTTTTCAGAAGACTTTATGCACGTACGTCTAAGTATAAAAATTCCACTATACCATATTTGACAGCACGTACTTTATGTGATGAAAATAGTGTAAGGCATGAACTAACTAACTAACTAACTAACCTTCTTTGCACTACTAAATAAACCATTTCCTCCATCCTTACAACATCAACCTTGTTATTGTTATTGTACTTCTTATATTTATAATCCTCTCAATTTTTTGTTTTTATTTTTATTTATTTATTTTCTCATAAGTGTGAACATCATTTAAGCTGTGTTATAACTGTGTTAATTTTGTATTTCCCCTCACCATGCTGCTATATCAACAGAACATTAGATTCAATGCCTCTATAATAACATGCTGAAATTTCCAAACTGAATCGACAATACTGTTTGAAACAAACTCACTGTTACTGTTATTATTATTATCTATATTTAATATTCTCAATTTGTGCTTCGAATATTTTTGACTTTATATCGTAAATGTGGACAAATTCCTCTGGTTAATTTTGTTTTAATTTTTAATTTTATTTATATTTTGAGGAGTAAATCAGATGCAAGGTGTTGTGACAAATGCTGAGAATTCCATTCTGTATTATAAGTAGTGCTGTTTTTGGAATAAAGTAGATTATTATTATTATTCGTTTATCCGTTCGAACTTAAACACATGGTGGTCAAGTTTATTTTCAAGGGATAAGATCTCGGCAGCTCCGTTGTGGTGTGATTATCTAATTGTTCACTTTCTTTTCAAATCAACGCAAACAAATACATCTTTTTGAAGCCGCATGTGTTATATTCTCCCTTCAACAGTTGGGGCGTTCGGTGTTAAGTGCGGCTTGATCACCAGGCTAAACAGTCAGCAGGTGATGTGAATAGAAATCAAATCTAGCAGGACTGATAGCCAGACACACAACAATCGTCGTCAGCGTTATTTCTAGTTGAAGTCAACTGGAAGCGATTTGGAATCTGTGTGCACGCGGCCTAGCTAGTTGGTAGATCCTAGATGTGAAATAATCCGTTGATGGTGGGTTTTATGTGAAGCTTAGTGTCGAAAGTTCCTATGTTCCCATGTATGTATGTATGTATGGGTGAAACGAGCGAGATAAAACAGAATCATCATCCCTCAGTACACCACACCACATCTAGGACACTCCAAAGTCAAGACAAGGCAAGGCAACCGAAAAACGATTTTAATCCAACCAGCTTCTGTTACAGACTTCAACTTCATCGACTTTGAAAAGGCCTTTGACAGCGTCGATCGAGAGGTGATTTGGAAACTACTTCGCTACTACCACGGGGTGCCACCGACAATTATACGTCTCACTTAACAGCTGTAAGACAATGCTGCATGCCAAGTAATCCACAATGGGAAACTTACGGAACCCTTCGAAGTGAGGACAGGATTAAGACAAGCTGGCTGGCTGCCTACTATAGCCAATGATTTTCCTGATTGCAGTAGACTGGATAATGCGACAAACAGAGGGCAATGAGGAAACAGGCATAAAGTGGACCCACACAAAAACGACTTGGAGGATCTGGACTTCGCCGATGATATATGTCTGATTTCCCACAAACTGGAAGATATGCAAGCGAAAAGCAACAAGTTACCTGAAGAAGCATCAAAGATAGGACTTCAGGTGAACATAGAGAAAACAGAGGTGATGAAAATTCCTGGGCAACACCACCAACAGTAACAACAACAACAGACAACAATCAGCCAGCATAAATGGGAGGAACCTGAAAGAAACAACCTCATTTACCTACCTGGGAAGCATCGTTTCAACCACAGGCGGAACAGACGAGGATATCAAAGCAGCGAGGATCAGGAAAGCAAGACAAGCTTTCACTACACTCAAGTCTGTGTGGAGGTCAACAACACTCAGCATCAAAAATAAGATCCGGATTTTCAACTCCAATGTGAAGTCAGTGCTACTATACGGATCAGAGACTTGGCTAGCGCGTCATAAAGAGCATCTCAAACAAACTACAGACCTTCATCAACAGTCGTCTTCGCTCAATACCACTGAAGATCAGATGGCCAGGAAATATCAGCAACAGAGATCTGGGAGCGAACCAACCAGGAACCGATTGTGAAACAAATAAGCAGGAAGAAATGGAGATGGATACGCCATACTCTGAGGAAACAAACCATCAAGTGAGTGACATCACTAGACAAGCCATTGCTCGAGTGGAACCCGACGGAATTGGAAGCGGCGAGTTGGTCGTCAATGTGACGGTGGGTGACTTGGAGGAAGTCATGTGAAGAGGAGATGAAAACGTGTGGGCAGACTTGGAGCCAGGTGAAGACTCTAGCAGAGAACAGAAAGCAATGGAGACACACGGCTGAAGCCCTATGTTCCTGTAGGAATTAAAGGATACAATAATAATATAATAATAATCTGTTACAGACAGTGTCAACTATGACAGGCTGGTCTATCTGGTCTATCTAGAAAAAGATCCTAATTATATAATGCCGAAATGGCTTTCATAACTGGTTGTAGACGGCGACAATGCAGAGCGAAACATATTCACACACACACTGGCGAACTAGCAAAATAGGCAGCTAACCGCATCACTTACTAAATGTCATCCTTCATGTGTCTTTGACAGACCTCCAACTAAATGAGCTCAACTGAAAGTGTATTTTCTTCATATTCCACCATTTTTTTACTAACTTGAAAATCCCCATTCAGTCATATAAAAGATAAGAAGGCGTTCAGCGAAGAGACTCTTTTCGGCGAATTCATTCACTGAGCTGTACAATCGCATATTTATACAATTTTGTTTGTGTGTGTGTGTGTACATTAAATTTATAAAGTTTAGATAATTATGTAATATAAGTAATTTTTGGCTTGGAAACAAACGTTAAGATGGAAAATAAAATAGAATTGATTAAGTGAGTAGAATTCAGATGAGGTCAGGTTGGAAACAGTGTTAATGAGTGGTGTTTAAAATCAAATAAGGGTGGGGTTAGAGAATAATACAGTTGAAAATAAGTAAGTTAATCGGATGACGTAACTCAGTTGACTAGAAATTGGACGTGGGTCAAGTTAGTAACATTGGTAATGAGGGTAGAGATTACAAAAGGGTGGGGTAGAGAATAATATAAGTGAAGATGTGAAATAATAAAATGCAAGAGACAAAATAATACAATTAGTAAGACTGAAATTAAGAAAGATTACGTCCATTGTAGATTTAATGAATGAACGAATTTCTTTTGTATGCAAAGTTCAGGATTTAGCAGATGGATTGCCATTGCTTCTGCGATGTGGAGAAGTTTGATCCGTACACTTTTAGCAAGATTGCCTTGTATTCTGTAGATAACTTTGAAGTTTATTTCTGGTTTGACTTGGTGTCCAGAGTCGATCAAATGTTCAAGGATCGAGCTGCGGGGGCATCGGTTTTCTCCTTTATAAAACCATGAAGGTAAATGTTCGTTGACGCGTTTGGATAGCGAACGCTGAGTACGGCCGATATACCTGGCTCCACACGAGCAGGTGAATTGGTAGATGCACATAGATGAGGCCAACAGCGGTAGCTTATCCTTCACGGACATACGAATCATTGGTCTCGCGGAGAACGTCAGTCGTAATTCAGCTGCAACGAAGGTTTCCTTCAATGAGCGGGAGAGCCGATTTCTCAGTATTTCTGTAGATTGGTCTCCATTGAACTGTAGGTTCATATAGAGAAGTCTTTTTGGAGCACTGGATGTGGACGGCTTCTCTGGTCTGGGTTTCATTGATTTTGTGATAAATCTTTCTGGATAGCCATTTTCAAGGAGGATTTTCTTAAGAGTGTTCATTTCATCTTCTATGGCGTCCAGGCTGCTCATTAACTCATTTTTACTCATTAACACCTTCACAACGAAATATGTAATTTTGTACTTTATTTACCTCCTCACTCAAACTCTTCTTGATTTCGAAACGGTGGTTATATATGCGAGGAACGTTTTGATCACATCACGTATATAGATAGGTACAGCAGTAAGTTTGTACTTTACTAACGTCACATTTCTATTGATCGATCTCTACATTTCATGATGATTGTTAATTACTGTCTCAAATGAAGTTCTAGGAGCGATGAAGCGATGTTGACATTCACACAAAGTACGATGTATACAAACGCAAGCGAATCCCTCCCTATCCTCCGGTTCCCAGAAGTACTTGTTCTGTTTAGACCACACCACAGACAAATCAAAACAACGAATTGAATGCTCCAAAGTACAAGGTGTGTTTCAGGGTAAGACGAGTAGTGCGATAATGACTGCTTAGCTAGGCGTATAAAAGGGATAGTGAACGACAGATTGAACGCCATTCGATAGTGTGTTTGATTCGCATAGTTCAGACTTGCTACCAACCGTAGTTAAAAAGAAATAAGAGAACAGCGGCGTATCAGAGTGAGTGTAAGAGTGTTACAAGTATTATAAGTAGTGCTGTTTTTGGAATAAAGCAGATTATTATTATTAATGCATATATATATACATAAACGGAGAGAATTGACGTACTTTTTGCCGACTAATTCCGGTAGCATGTCAGCCATGATTACAGCCAAAGACGTCGCCGCTGAACACTCGACAACACACTTCTCCACTTCCAACAGGCGTACAACTGCCCGATGTATGTGTGACTCGTTCAATGTGATCACTTTGTCGACGAGATGACGACAGGTCTGGAATGCATTGACGCCAACCATGGAAATTGCTAAGCCTAAACAGAAAAGAAGAGAATACACACACAAACACACACACAAGGGGACACTCAATCAGTCAGTGAGAAATCAATGCGAGATCGATAGAGGACAATACTGGAGGAAGAGATTTTATTTACAATACTGAAATCATACAGGGCATAAAGTTAATTTTGACAAAAAATGGTCAATTCTCAATATTTTTACTGTACCATAGTGGGGATTTTATTATTATATGAAATAAAGATTAAGAGTGAGAATGCCATCAATGCCATCAAGTGTCATTTATTCGCCTCCCCTGAGGAGATTATCAATATATTCGATTTTGTGGTGCTGATTTACAATTATTTCCCTGAGGAACATCTCGAATGATACGCTCTCTCTTCACATTCTTATCAGAGAAGCTGTTTTTCAGGGGGGGGGTGTGTTAGGCATTTACAGCAGTCGTAAAGAATGCGTCAGGGTGGAAGGTATCCTGCAACAGTGAAAGTCATTCATGCCTATTTGTCAATTTCTCTTGAAAAAAAGAAAAAATTGGTACAGCATAACTCCATTATGGTTAAGATTTTCTATTTTGATAAACTGTCACTCACAGTGTGTGTGTAGTGTTATACAGTAAGTAATATTAACTGATGCGACCACACGCTTCGAGCACAATTTATTATTGCCACTCATAATCATCATATCAAGTCACTCACTCACTCACTCATTGACACAACTTTCGTCTTCCTTCATTTATATACGTGTGTGGAATTGAGGATTAGATATTTGAGTACAAATCACTAATATGGGATAATGTACATTCAGAAACAATAATAATAATAATAATATGAGTGTTATTGATCAATTACAATCAGATGGGAAATAAGACGAGTGTTTCCTTTATAATCATAATAAGTGAGTACCTTGTTAGAATGTTGTGATGTACGTGAATTGAATTGAAATAGAATACAATTTAAGATTATTTATTATCCTCCTCTGATTTCACTGACTGACTGACTGACTGACTGACTGACTGACTGACTGACTGACTGACTGACTGACTGACTGACTGACTGACTGACTGACTGACTGACTGACTGACTGACTGGTGGTAATAATATCTTCCATACATATCTCTGGTATTTGCATTGAGTCATTTCTGTTGCATGTGTTGTGTTGGGTGTAGACTCAATGAACCAGGAAGGATTCAGTAATCGATCTCTCTCGCTCTTCAACTACATATATTACTTTTTAGAATCTTTACCCTCTCCTACCCACCATGCTATTTTTTTGGTTCTGTGTTAATGCATGCAGTGCAATGTGGTTCTGAGCAATTTCCTAAATTACTTATCTTCTCGAATGGGGTCAACCATTCTTACCTTAGCTAAATTCTTATGTTCCGACAATCTGATTACCCCCGCCCGATCTACTAGTCTGTTTCACCTATGTAGTTGACCTAAGTGACAGTCATTGCAAGGTATTTTGTAAATTATATTATTTTGTCTAATTGGGTCAACCGGCAGCGTCTTTTAACCTACAGAGCTTGTCCTATCTGAGTGTGTTTGTAGGTTTGAATGCCACCACCAGCCTAATTCCTGCTTTGTTATTAAGAATCCTACGTAGGGAGTGTCTCAGATGTCCCCTCCCTCCTTGTATGGTCTAACAGTGGTTGACTTATATTCTCTCCTATTTATGTTATCACTGCTAGTTTGACAATTATTTTTCGATTTTCCTTTTGGCATTTTTCAATCTCCCTAACGAATTTTATAGGACAGCTAGCTAGCTAGCTAGCCAGCCTTCGACACAGCTCATTTTCATAGTACCTGGAAAAACTTTATCGACAGAACTGGAAAACATCGACATGAGCATATATACATGATTTAGTCAGTAATTTCAAAGAAATGAACAATGTCATAAAATGAGCTGCAGAATATGTAGAATATTTAGGAGTAATTTCCAGATGCGGCACTGTCTATCTGTTTTCGACATAAAACTTTGCACTGATGTGCAGCAGTTCAAGTCGCCACACTCCACTCCTTGGGGCACACAAAGCCAGGGAAGAAAGAAGAAGAAATGCATAATAGAGAGACAGTAAACAGAGGTGTGATACAAAGGAATAGTAGTAACAAAGAACAAAACAGTTTCATCGGGTATTATAATTCACAAGGAGTGGATTTATCTGCGCTACTGAGAACGATTTTGAGCTAGCCATATCACCAATTGTTTCCAACCTTCATTGGTTTTTACCGTCCCAAAGACCCCAAACAGTCAGGAAGTCTACATCTTCCTACGTGGCTGGCTGGCTTAAACTGACTGTTGTGAATTTTATTGACTGGTGAAGCCATGTTTTGGTTTGACCGCCACTAGCTAACTCTTTACCAGCCTGACCAATCATATGTCAGCCAGCTAACATTGCCCATTGTCGAGGAAGGCGATGACTAGTCATGCATACGTAAAACATGTCCTAACCATCTCAGTCGATGTAATTTCACAGCCTCATTGTCGATTGATTTCCCCTCCTACTTACCTAGCACTCAACCCACGCCTAACCTCAATATTGCTCACTTATTATACCCCTTCACACTGGAGATAGAACGCAGGCACCTATGATCCAAGACAGCTAATCAGTTTTTTCATGTCTTCCACTCTCAATGGTCAGGTCTCGCTCACAGCCAGCCATAAAGGAGGACGGAGCGGACTGCTGGCTGAGCAGTACACCTGCCCTTTTGTCGATAGCCTGCCGGATATCACGTCTACTAAGCCAGAGATGGCGTCAGAGATCAACCCATTGGCACTGGCTAGTGGTACTTCGCAAATAAGTGAAGCGGTCAACGTGCTCCACCAACCACTTCACTCCCTATTTCTTAACTAGGAGTCAGTGTAGTCCAGTCCCATAACATCATGTTACATTTGGCGGGAGCGAATCGCAAGCCAAACATACGTAGATTGCAGATCAAGGTGTTCAGAAGACCGTGTCTGCATTTTGTCAGCGTCCTCGTCTAGAAGGACTATTTCATATCTGCATATTCTAAGTCAACGAGATTATTCCCTGGTAGGACGTTAATCCCTTGAGTCTCTGAAGTGAGTTAGGGTTAAATCCATTAGTACATCTATAATGAAATTAAATAGAAATAGGAATAATGGGCATCCCTGGCAGACACCACTAGTTGTCACCACTCCAGATGAAAACGCGCCATAAGCCCTCACCTGGCTGGCTGCATGAGTTCCAGTAAAGTGCCTTGATCAGTGCAATGTATTTCCTCCGGGCACTCCATAGTGATGAAGCAGTTTCAGTACTACTACACGTAAAGAACACTAACACTAACGCCAACTCAGCTCTTCTGCCTATCAGTTCGGAGACTTGGCTCAGAGACTTTCATCAACAGCTTCTCATTCGCTTCTCATTCTGAAGATTATCAAATGACAGGCCAGGAAGGATTAGCAATCTATAGAGAGAGGGCTCTGGAAACGAATCAACCAACCAACAACAACCCACAGTCCTATAAATAAATACACAGTGTGAAATCATGTGCCAGGCATTAGAGTAGAACCTGATTGAGAAACGGTGAGTTGACACTAGTGTGTGAGTGGGATAAGGGATTATGTGCAATGGTGGAGCCTGTTAAGGAGGACTGCAAAAAACAGGAAGAAGTGGAAAGATGCCCTATTTGAAGCCCTATGTTCCACTGGGAACATTCACAAGAGACTAATTGTAATATTATTATGATAAGTTTTCACACAAATACAATAAAGGTACACAAACATGAACCTGCCTAATACAAGAACAAAAGCGAATCCTTACACAGCATTAGAAAGAGACGAATGTGCTTGTGTGTGTGTGTGTGTGTGTGACACCAACTAGAACAAACAGACTTCGTTTTTCATATAGCCAACTTTCATTGAACTTCCCTAACTTGTGGATGATGGTTTGACTAGGTAACAAGAACGCAGGGGGAATTTTCTCTTACAATGTGAGGCATTTTATCTAGACTGTAGGTTCAGCATCAAAGGAAGTGGAATCCAGCTATTTATTGACAGTATTTCTGCATATTTACAATATAGGCTGCCTGTTAATCCAATCATTCATGATTCGTAATCAATAGTGTTTGACCTCTGAAAAGCTGGTTGATGGTTTAGTTGCGGAGCTTTCGTCGCCCCCCCCTCCCTGCTTGCTGGACAACATACATCTTCAGTGCAATTATTAGCATAAAGTGAAATGATTTAAATTTCTCCATGAGTGGTGATAGAATTGCGCGCGTCTCCCGGTAGCCATCTTTACATTTGTATGTACTGATCATTTTCTATTGACTTGGATTGTAAACTTTCTCGTCACATGATCTACCTTTCATTAGTTGGTATATTTGAATCTAGAAGACCTGGATTTCGCGGATGACTTATGTTTGATGTCACACAAAATCGAAGACTTGCAAGCGAAAACCGACAAACTGGTCGAAGAAGCAGCAAAGACAGGACTGCAGGTGAACATAGACAAGACGGAGGTTATGAAAATAACCAACCATCAACAACAAAAACAGCAGCAACATCCATCGCCAATCACCATCAACGGGAGGGATTTGAAAGAGGTTAATTCATTCAATTATCTAGGGAGCATTGTCTCAACTACAGGAGGAACGAACGAGGATGTCAAATCGAGAATCGGGAAGGCGAGAAACACATTCATCGACCTAAAACCAGTCTGGAAATCTTCGTCACTCAGCCTGCATCAACAACAAAGTGATTCGGATTTTCAATACAAACGTCAAGTCAGTCAGTTCTTCTATACAGATGGATCAGAAACTTGGTGGTTCACAAAGAATATTTCCAACAGCCTGTTGCAGACCTTTATCAACAACTGTCTTCGTTCTATACTCGAGCTCAGATGGCCGGGAAGAACAAGAACCAACAAGAAACTATGTTAACAAACAAATAAACGAAACGAGAACCAATCGCCTGAGAAATATGCAGGAGAAAGTGGAGATGGATTGGACACTCACTGAGGAGGCCGTTGTGCGACATTGCGCGTCAGACCCTCGAATGGAACCTGAAAGGGAAGCGGTAAGTAGTGGGACGTCCAAGGGTGACATGGGGGAGATCGTGTGAAGAGCAGTTGAAACAGTATGGATTAACATGGATGCAAGTGAAAAGTACAGCTGAAGACAGGAGCAAGTGGAGGCGTCCAGTTGAAGCCCTTTGTTCCACTAGGAACCCAAGGGAACAATAATATAATATAAAAATATATTTGATCTATATTAACGTGTTTGTTAATCGCTGGCTGATTCGTTTGAGTACCACCAGGCTTCCAGGAATTCCCTGACTACACTTTTGTTGGTGGTGTTTCCTCTGTCTAAAATTTCGACATTATCCCATTTATCAAACTGATGTCCATAATTATGTATATATGCATTGATATGAAACAGGAATGTGTATATATCATGTCTTTTCACAGCTGATTTGTGTTCCTGGGTAATTCTGATTCGACGCCCTGGGGACGCCCACTTCGACAACAGATGTAATGTCTGTTACAGTTCATACATGCAATTTATTTTGTAAATGGTATTAATTTCATCTCCTTTCTCTGTTGAATGCGTCTTTCGGTTTGCACAATATCGAATGAAGTGATTGGACTGGCTGGCTGGCTGGCTTGTGTGCTTTATCTATCTATTTCAAACGATTTCAATATTCTAGCTGTTATTTCAGAGATATTTTCTCTTATATATATGGTAGGATGAATTTTCTTGTGTTCTTTGATGATGGTGGTTCCTTGTTGGTGTTGTGACTCGATTTTAAACACGTTTCGATGAAATTTTGTGCGGATAACCATTATTTTTGAAGACCGTTAGTAGGTATTTTTCTTCCATTCTTTTCAACGCTGGCGTAGTCCTACAGTGTGTTTGAACTCTCTTGTGAACAATGTCTGCACACAGTTTCTTTTCTGAGTGAGTAATTGGGTTGTTATTGATAGTATAGTTGATTTTCTATATACTTGTGTTTCTAAATTTCCTGTGTTGCTTCTCCTGATTAAGACATCTAGAAATGGGATTTTGTTGTTTCGTCTAATTCTTCTTCTCTCGTGGTGAATTTGATGTCTTCAAATATGTTGTTTATTAATTTATGGGTAAATTCTAATTCACATTTCTTTTAATTATTACAAGTGAATCATCAACATAACGTACCTGTCCAGATTTTCGGTTTAACTATAGGTAGAGCTATTAATGCTAGTGTTTGCATGACAAGCTTCAGCTATTAATCCTAATATGGTCGATCATCCCATTGGTGTCCCCTTCGAATCAGAATCATCCAGGAATACAAATCAACTGTGATGAAAAGACATGATATATATATATATTCCTGTTTCATATCAATGCATATATACATAATTATGGACATCAGTTTGATAACTGGGATAATGTCGAAATTTTAGACAGAGGAAACACCACCACCAAAAGTGTAGTCAGGGAATTCCTAGAAGCCTGGTTGGTACTCAAACGAATCAGCCAGCGATTAACAAACACGTTAATATAGACCAAATCTACCAACTAATAAAAGGTAGATTATGTGACGAGAAATTTCACAATCCAAGTCAATAGAAAATGATCAATGCATATGTGAAGATGGTTACCGTGACACGCAATTCTATCACCACTCATGCAGAGATTTAAATCAGTTCACTTTTCGCTTAAATTTGCGCTGGAGGAGTGGGATGTTGTCCAACAAGCAGGAGAGATGACGAAACCTTCACAACTAAACCAACCAGTTCCTCATAGAACACTATTAATCAATTGCAAATCATCCACCTGAGCTACAAATCTTCTCTATTATTATTTCAGAATCGTTCATGATATCAAATAAAGGGGAGAGATTAAAAAACGACGTTATATGATAAGTTAAATACATCAGAATTTTTATGTGAATAATTATGGCGGTATAACTTACCATCTGCACACGATGGGAAATTTTCTGTATAAACTGGTTTCCCGGCAAGCATTGCTTGATTGAATCCAGGACAGTTCTCTGATTCCACAGCCTGAAATGTCGACATAAACATTGTGGAGTAAGAGTAAATAAAATATTTTGGTGAAACAATAAAAATGGTGGAGAAACTGAAGCAATTTTGAAGTATTTAACTGTATATTATTAGTCGCAGCCGCCGGAGTGTATCTATATTCCAATAGGGGTATATCAAACATCACCAGGAGCACACTTCTCTAACTTCTGAAGATAGAATTTAGAATATACGACAACTATTGAGCTCCCAACTGGGTCCCTCTTTTGGCTGATTTCTTTCTGAGTAAGCTAGAAAATCGACCTCCGAACAAAAACAACAACCTTATCAGTAAGTTCTCATTTTATTGCCGGTATATACGGATGACACACCTTCATTCTTTGTGATAGAATGATTTGGATAGAGGGAGACAATAATTACTGAATTCAATGAAATACATTCTCCACTATGAAATTCACAAGTGAAGAGGAATCCCAAAACACAGAATGAATTGCCATCCTGGATTCCCTGTCCTCCTTACAAGAAAACCAGATGGTAGCAGAAAAACAGAAATTTGCATAGAAAAAGTACTTGGAGAACAGGACAATATACACACACATTTTCACAGCTTCGTTCCTCTCTCAAGTAAAAAAGAAATTTAGTGAAGACTCTCACTCGGCCACAGAGTTACTTAGAGCTTTATGCTAAGAAGAAGTATTTGAAAATGAATTTAGCAAGCATGGTATATGATACTTTGATCGAAAATAGCTATCGCGACAAATTTATAAAGAAACACATGACAAAGAAAGCGCCGGAAAAGGACTACTCACTCTCCATCCGTAAACAAGAAGCCTTTATGTATCTACGACTGCAATTCAAGGGTGATCGATATACCAAGTGAGATAATTACGAAGAAATAAGGAAAATCAGTTCAAAGAAGTTTTAATGCTGGCGACGAAGTACACGTCTTATTCTCTACACGACTGATGGTGCTACCTGGACTGAAACATGAACTACCTAAACTAGACTAGCTGGTCACTTCAAATTGTATCTACCAATTCAACTGCAACTGTGCTTGTGCTTGTGGAGCGAGTTATATCGGACGTTGTTGCTCTAGGAACTTGATTTTTCGTGGTCGCTCGCTCGAAAACATCTCTTAGTATGGCTAAGTAAAGGTGTAGTGAGAACTAATAACAAACAGTTCGATATTGGACCATCTGGGGCTAACCTGCTGGCTGACAAAATCATCATCGAAGCACCGCATGCTTCAAACACCACAGGCTATTGTGATACGCCTCAAACAACTAGTGCTCTGTGTGTTGAGAAGAAGCAAGTCAGGCCATCTAGCCACTACTACTACTGCCCTGGCTGACTGGCTTTCAGTAGAGACTATAAATTCATGAGTTTGTATTATTATCTTTCCTATTTCAATTGACATTCAGTTTATTGTTATGTTGATGCTATTGAACTGTAATCCACTGGTATTATTATTATTATTGATTCGATGTTATTTAAACAACAACATTCATGTTGTTGTTCATAACACTAATTCATTCATTCCTTCATTTACTATAATGAATGGATATATAACTGTAGAGCCTGATGATGATGATGAAGGGGTTGTCGAAAAGAGTATTTATATTCTTTGTTCAGTATACATCCATTCTTTTGAAAACAATTTCAATGTGCATTTTCAATCAGTTAAAATTTTATGCATTCATAAATTTCGATGTTGGATGTTTGTAAGTAATCTACAAGAAGCCCTAATCCTAGATAGATTTCACGTTGATTGCCGCTCGTCAGCAAAAGTTTAATCATCAATTCCACTCATGTATATAAATGAAGGAAGACGAAAGTTGTGCGAGTAAGTGAGTGAGTGACTTGATATGCTCATCATGAGTGGCAGTAATAAATTGTGCTCGAATCGTGTGGTCGCATCAGTTAATATTACTTACTATATAACACTACACACACACACACACACACACTGTGAGTGACAGTTTATCAAAATAGAAAATCTTATCCATAATGGAGTAACATCAGTCCCATCACACACACACACACACACACAATGTAACGCATGTTCTGTCTCTTCTTTGTTTGACATCAACACACTCACAATTATCAGACACTTCGGTCGAATAGCTTTTGCTGCAACGCAGATTCCAGCAATCAGGCCACCGCCACCAACTGGCACTATGATAGCATCAACCTCAGGGACTTGTTCCAGGATTTCGATGGCAACACTTCCTTGACCCGCCAAAATATGTGGATGATCATAACTGAAATGGAAAGAAACACACAAACAGACGAACAGACAAGCGAACATGGAAGGCATCAATTGAAGTACGTGCGTGGGTGTGTGGGTGGGTGTGTTATGATAAAGCGGAACCTGGATTGCCAAACCCGTGAAATCAACAGAAGAAGAAGACGAAGACGAAGAACTGGAACAGACAAGTAAACAAACACTGCCAGGATTTACAAGATGACAGACAAGAAGCGCGCATGTCGGTGTCGTTTGTTAATGAAGACAGCTTTGAACCCCGGTCACAAACAGTCTGCGATCTGCAATAAATCTTGGTATCTTGGTAAGGAATGCGTCCAGTCAAACTACACCTGACTATGTACCTCAAACTAACAATCACTGACCTCATATTGTTTACGTCTATTCTTATTATTATTTGCTTGAATTCCTAGAGGAACATAGGGCTTCAGCCGCTCACGTCTCCATTGCGTTCGGTTATCTGCTAACATTTCCACCTGGCTCCAAGTCTGATCACATGCTTTTAACTCATCTTCACATCACCTCCTCCAAGTCACCCGCTTCCATTTAGGGTTCCATTCAAGCAATGGCTTGTCTAGTGATGTCACTCACTTGATGATTTGCTTTCTCAGAATATGGCCACAATCCAATCCACCTCCATTTCTTCCTGCTTAATTGTTGCACAATCAGTTCCTGCTGTGTTAATCCGCTCATTGCCAGATATCCCAAACTGTTGCTGATCTTTTCCGGCCGGCCGGCTATCTGAACTTGAGTCGTAATGTCCGATGACAACTAGCTTTTGATGAGTATCTGTAGTTTGTTTGAGGTGCTGTTCATGACGCTCTGGCCAAGTCTCTGATCCGTGAATTGAGGAGCACTGACTGACTTCACATTGGAGTTGAAAATCTGGATCTCATTTTTCATGCTGGATGCTGAGTGCTTTTGACCTACACACAGACTTGAGAGTGATGAAAGCTTGTTTTGCTTTTTTGATCCTTGCATTGATATCCTCGTCACTTCCCCTTGTAGTTGAGACGATGCTTCCCAAGTAGATAGGTAGGTAGATGAAGGAGGTTTTTTCTTTCAGGTTTCTCCCGTTTATGCTGTCTGATTGTTGTCTGTGGTTGTTGTTACTTTTATTGTTGCCGGGGATACTTCATCACTTCTGTTTTCTCTACGTTTACTTGGAGTCCTATCTTTGATGCTTCTTCTGCCACTTTGTTGCTTTTCACTTGCATATCTTCCAGTTTGTGAGAAATCAGACATATATCATTGGCGAAGTCCACATCCTCCAAGTCTCTTTTTGTGTGGGTCCATTTTTTGCCCGTTTCCTCGCTGCCCTATCGATGACCATTTCAAAGTCGATGAAGTTGCCATTCCAAGCTCTGTTCCATGATGATCCGCAGTTTGGCAATTTGATCAGTACATGACTTTTTTCTCCTGAATCTAGCCAGCCTGTTTCGGTCGAAGTTTCTCATCCAGGGCATGTTTGATTCTCTCCAGGATGATGCGGCTTAGTATTTTGCTTGGGATGGACAGGAGCATAATTCCGCGCCAGTTCTTGCATTGACTTAAGTCTCCTTCCTTTGGCAGTTTGATTAAGGAGCCTTTCCTCCAATCCGCAGGTACCTTGCCCACTTTTCCACACCTTATCCAGTAGTGGTGTCATCAAGTCCACTGTTGTCTCTGGATCCATTTTCAATGCTTCTGCTGGGATTCCATCTGGTCCTGCTGCTTTTCCAGATTTTAGCATCTTGATTGCCCTCAGGACTTCTGATTTCGTCGGGGGGTTGATGCTCACTGGTAGCTCTGTCTCCGTTGTTAGTATTGTTGGGCGCGTTGTCGGTGGTGGTCGATTTAGGTGTCTTTTGAAGTGTACAGCCCAGTGGTTTTTTCTTTTGCTCCACTTCTTTGGTGAGTGACTTTCCATTGTCATCCTTCACCGGCTTAATTTGTGTCACCTACAAGTTTAGACCAAATGGTGTAAATGGCGTCACGTTTCGGCTTTTGTGTATGGTGAAGGTGGTGGCAATTCGTCAATACAACTCCGAACTCTGTATACGGAAAAGGTTTCGCCAGTCTCTTATTCTACCTTGGTCTTAAGCTCTTCACTAGGCGTTCCCTGTAAAAATGTTGATTTTTTTCTTTTTTTAACTTTACTTTTAGTTTGCTTTTGTTTTAATAATTAATTCACACTATTATCACTCTCACATGTGCTCCCTGTTGTACATTTTCACACATCCTCTCAACACACTTGTTCACAATTTGACACTCAACTACCACCTTTATTCTCTCTCTCTCACTCAATAACAATTTTAACCTTCCTTATCAAATTTCCATCTTTGTTCCGTTGAGTACCACATAATTAACAACTTTTAATTTCTGTTTTACTTCTAAAGCCACTTTCGAGTATTTATATATATCAAAAGCAGAAGTCCTGAATGCCACAGAGTTATTGTAAGTGACTCGTGAAGGCAGCAGCATTATCAGATGGAAGCTTTCTCCTCCACTCCCACGACCCCCACAAGACGCAAAGGAGTGGAGATGGATCCAGAGATGATCTTAACGGACATGTCCACGCTACTTCTACTACCACTTCTGTGAAAGGGTGTAAGAAAGAATACTTTGTGAAACTGCCAAAAGAGGAGAGCGAATTCAACCCATCCATACAAGAAGTGGCGCAGCATCATGTTCCTTTCTACACCAAGCAATATATAATAATAAAAATTTGCTTTACTCCAGAAACAGTACTAGTGGTACAGTGTGGAATTTTCAGCACATATCTGCAATATTTGCATCTAATTTTATCAAACATTTAAAAGGATTATTTCAAAAAAATAAATATAAAGATAGGAACAGCAATGATGGCGGCCTGTTTGACACCTGGGCTACCTTTCCGTACATCTACATATTTGCATCTAATTACATCATGTTTTCATTTTTCATTTTAACAAAATATGATCACAAATCGTATCAAATACAGTAATGAATTCATTAAATGTTTTAAACCATATGACTTTCATGCATCTAATAAAACTAAGAAAAAACATCATGGTGGTTGGCAATGTGCTCTCAAACGGACACCATTATATCGCACAACTATTCCTGTTATTGTCAGTTCAAACTGCCGTTCACTTCTCAACAAAATTATGCATCTCCAGTCTCTCTTATCATCTGATACTTATCACAATACGGCGATAGTTGCATTACAAGAAACATGTCTCCATGATCTTTATGATGACAACCTGGTTTCTCTAAATGGTTTCACATTTTTTTAGACAAGATCGAATATGCTCTAGAAAGAAAAGAGGTGGAGGTGTTGCAACTTTCATTCATTCTCAGTGGTCAACTTCAAATAATGTATGTTTTTCTTTCTCTAGTGACTTTATTGATTGCATTACAGTCAAATGTCGTCCGAAACACTTATAGAAGTTTAAATACGTTTTCATCTCAAACATTTATGTTACTCCTGGCTGTTACGCCTCGAATCTATCTGATTTTGCCGATGAATTCACAGCATTCGCTGTAATACACATTGGAAACTCTTTATCAGTTGTCAGAGGAGATTACAATACCTGCGATTGCTCTTTTCTTGAATCATTAGGTCATGTCAATACTGTCAAATTTCCAAGTCCACTTGATATATTAAGCCACATCATTCTGAAAAAGGACTGAATAGAATCAATAGAGTTTTGACATGTATAAGAGTGAAACAGAATGAGTAATGGTAGAAAGGAATATGAAAGATTACACAAAAGACTGAATACATATGCGTAAGCCATTGACAACGATTTTGAGCCATGTCACCTATTGTCTGTCTCCAGACATTGATTCTTAGAGTCCCGATGGCGGGCTCCACCCCGGAAGTCTGTATCTTCCTACCTGACTCAGTTTAACTGTCAAGGATTTCATGGATTGATGAAGCCATGTTTTTGTTTGGCATGGAACCACTTACTCTTTTCCAACCTGCACCTATATCAGCTAGTAATGCCCGTCGGGAGGGGGAGGCGATGGTTAGGCATGCACAGCACGTGACCTAACCATCTCAATCTATGTAACTTCATAGCCTCTTCGATTGATTTTCCCTCTTTGCCCAACACTCTACGCCAACGTCAACATTACTTACCTTATTATACCACCTAACGCGAGAAAGAGATCGTAAACATCTGTGGTCAAAAACAGACAATCTCTTCATGTCTTCCGCTCTCAATGGCCACGTCTCACCGCCATAGAGAAGGACGAGGCGAACTGCTGAGCAGTACACACGTCCCTTGGTTGATAGCCGGATGTCACGCCTACGCCAGAGGTGGTGTAAGTTAGCGAAAGCAGCCCGAGCTTTCTGGATCCGTGCTGAGATTTCGTCACCAATCAGTCCGTTGGTGCTGATACAACTTCCCAAATAGGTGAAGTGGTCAACATGTTCTATCACTTCACTCCCTATCACTAAGCTAGGGGGAGATGTAGTCCAGTCATTCCTGTAGCAGCATCTTACATTTCACAGGGGCGAATCGCATGCCAAACATACGAAGATTGCTGCTCAAGGTGTTCAGAAGATTCTGCATTTTGTCAGCATCCTCCCCTAACAGGACTATGTCATCTGGATATTCTTAGTCCATAAGACTATTCCCTGGTAACAAGTCGATTCCCCTAAGTCGTTAATTTCAGTTAAGGATACTTCCATTAGCATATCTATGATGAAGTTAAACAGAAAAGGGGAAAGTGGATATCCTTGACGGATACCAATGGTTGTTATCAATTCAGATGACAATTCCCCATAAGCCCTTACACGGCAACGTGAGTTTGATTAGATTGCCTTGATTAGTGCAATGTATTTTCTTGGCACTCGCTTCACAGGCAAACATTGCCATAGTACCTTTCGATCTACGGAGTCGAAGGCCGCCTTCAAGTCAAGAAATATGGCAATTGTTGGATGCCTAAAAGTGTGTCTATGTTCTAGTATCTGTCGGAGAGTGAAGATATGATCTATGCACCCTCTACAGTTTGATGTGTAAATCGACC